TGCTTCTGTGGTTGTTAGCAGCGGTGAATAATCGGACCTCGTCGGGCTGAACTCGATGGACAGGGCAAGGCGCCCCCACATTTCCATTCAGCTGCTGCTGCCCCCACTGTTGCTTCTCAGCCTCTGCCGCCTCAGTAAAGTAAAGTCACTTTACTTTCTTTGAATCCTTCCTCAAGACTTACTGCTACCATGCACCATACATCAAACTGCCTTTTATTCATAGTTTTTCACTAATGACAACGCATATAGCAAATTTGTAATAGTTTGGATCTGTTGGGATAGCTTGTGTTCAGGGGTGGGTCCAGGGGGTAGGATGCAGTGGTGCAGAAGCACCACATCACTTTTAATTCCTGCTCCACCCAAAGTTTAAAATCAACTTTCTAGTAGTGGCAGCAGCATTTTTATTCAGCCAGCAATGAGGGAGTCAATTAACTTCATGGCTCATTATAATCTACCTAATTCTGTCTAAACTCTTCATTCCACAGGTGTTAATGACACTTGCTTATTTTTAATGGTCTTGATGTTGCACTAATCAAACTGCCCTTTCTTCTGAAATTCTGCTATTAACTGCTCTTGGTAAAATAGCTCCTGTTTCACCACACTGCAAACTGTTTTTAACTCTAGCTAAAAATATTAACTCAGGTGTAGAAACATTAATTCTGGTGACTATTAATTCATGTGTGGAAATAACTTTCAGTAAAGCATTGGATGCACTGTCAAGATGCACAAGAAGGCTAGATTTTGCTTTATAAACCTGAAAGAAATGTACATGTATTTCTAATGACTATAAGACTGAGACAATGTTTTGATTATTTTTGTCTAGTTTCTTATGTTTTATATATGATATAGCAAATTAATACACATTCCAAAAAAGATATACTTGTCTTTGTTTTGAACTTAAACTGAATAAGGGCCCTAAGGGCCCAAGGCCCCTAACATACTAGTAGAGCTTCTAGTTTCTTTTTAATTGGAAAAAATGTGTTGTGTTATGTGGTGATGCCCCAAATGTCTTGTGTTATGTGACAATGCCCCACACTATTTGCACCCCCCCCTTTGCAAAACCCTAGATCCCCTCATGCTTGTGTTACCGAGTAATAATACTGTTCCTGTCATTTTCCCTTCCCTGCTCCCTCGTATCTTTTGTGGTTTTCATGCATTGTGCCTTTCCTTAAATTATAAGTTCTTTGGAACACAGACTGGTTTCCTGTATTTGGTGCCTAAGTATGGGGCTAATTGGGACTCTGTGACATGATTGAAATACAAATAATAAGTGAACACTAAGATATTGCAAAAAAAGAACAACAAATTTCTATGGCAAGTTTTATAAACTCTTAGGTGTTCCTGAAAGCAAAATAATGGTGTGGTTTCCTGTAATAGCCATTCTTGGCTGTTCAAATTAGGTAGGATTTGATTCTTTCTGAAGAGTTATTTTACAAGGTGACAATATGCAGCTCTCAGGATCACACAGTTAAACATTAATACGCACTTCACAGCTTCTGCTAACTTTGCTGAGGGTGGCAGATATTCTAAACCAGTGGTTCTCAACCTATTTGGACTTGAGGCACCCCTCATTGAACTCAAACCAGCCTTCCATAACTTTTGTCAGTTGAGTGACACCCAGTTTCAAAAGCCAGTGTATTTATTACAGTACTTATCTACTTATAGAAAGGCTGGGCAGTGGCAGGTGAACCATTATTCAGGTAGGAACAAGCCTTAGACTGTGTTTATCTACTTATCTTATCTCCTCACACCTCATGGAACCCTTCAAAGGATTTGGTGGCACTGCTCTAAAATGTTACCCACCATTTCAATTGAAAACCATTTTTCTAGCTGACTGGTACCTTAAAATATGTAACATGTTCTTGTCCAATTTCTGTTATTTGCTCCATTTTTTATTTGGCCCCAACTCATCTCCCAAAGCCTCAGTACAGTAAATGGAGAGGAAGAAATTGTTCAATCAGGAAACAGAAGGACAGGGGAAATATTCCAGAACTATTATTGCAGCCAGGGCAGGCAATTAGAGGCATTATGCCTAATTCCATTGGAGACTAAGGCCAGCAGATTTACGGCCTCATTCCATTCCACAGTGTTTAGGGCATTCTCTTCAGGTTAAGCGGAGTGACACCCACAAGATGCATGTCTGCGTCCTGCATTCCCAGCCCCTTGGAAAAGTATTGACTCTACTGCATCTGCATCCTTCTGTATCAAGAGCGTACAAATACTTGCCTCTAGCTTAGTGAAAACGTCTGAGTGGAATTCAGTGCCAATCCAGTAGTACGCTATATAACTCTATATCATGATTTAGCTAACAATAAACATGTTTTGGCTCCATGTGAAAATGCTAGTTTGTGCATTTATTTTTCCTTAGAAGACTGGAAGCAAGACCCAAGCTATAATGTCTGTTAAGTTGGTTCTAGTCCATCTTTGAACTAGAAGAGCAAAGTTTGAAAACTACTTTTTGTTAGAATGGAGAAGGGGTTGTTGTTTGTTTTTTGTTTTGTTTTTTCCTTGGTCGGCTTTTTTTTTTTTACATAGTTATTTGTCTGCTATGGAAAAAAGATTTAATTCTCTTATTTGCCCATTGGACTCATCACAAAGGTTTCTTGAGGGTAAATTCTTTCATGGAAGGTTGATTACATGCTTTTCAAAACAATTTAATTTGATGTAACAATACTGTAGCTGCAGTTAAATCTTCCAGAAGGATGCAACAATGAACTTATATCTGTATTTTTATAATCATTGCAATTTTTTTCAATAATGTATTAGTAAATGTCAAAATAACAAAACTTAATTAGGTCAACGATTTCTCTAATCAAAAATAGATTATTGTTATTATAATGATATAGAAAGACTTCATATCCAGGCAACAAAATAGTTTAACTAGTGAGTCATGTTGCACAGGGGGTCAGAGACTCACTGTGGAAGAGTGGTCTTTTAAAAAAAAGCCAGAAGTTCAGAGGCAAATTAATAATTTCTTATCATTTGGAATTTACCCACCTTGGTATGGTAAATGGACAAATAAGAATTCTGTAATATTAAGCTTGAAATCATTTAATCAGGAATGTGAATCAGTTATGTGCCCCAATTACAAAATGGTGATAGAATTGGCTACGGTGTTTTTTTGTTTTTTTTAATTACAGCAGTTTCATAATGCTGTTATGTTATCAGATTCCAAGAATTAAAATATTATTGTAATACACTTTGGTATGCCAAATGACCATTGATGCTGCCAAGTATAAACACTGACAAGAGCGAAGTTGTTCTATAGGATGATAACAGCATCCCTAAAATAATGGATGCCACACTTCCCTACATGTATTTATGTTCAGATAATTTATTTAAATAATCTTCCTAGTACATGCTTTATAGCATTCTGCCTTTTGCTACACAAATTTCAGCTTACATTGCAGACTGTGCAAGTCATTTGGCAAATGTAATTTCCATCCCTGCATACTAATCGATTTCTTCACAAACACCTGCTATCAGTTATGATAATAAAAATGCCATTCTAAATTGAAAAGGGGCCAAATGGAGCTTCTTCCTAAGGAAATGACTTAAGTGTCTTTCAATGCTACTAATGTACTAATGTTCTTGTAGTGCCAACACTTTTTTTTGAGCATTTGCATTTTATATAGTTTTGCTCTGTTACATCATTTTTCTCTCTAAATGAGACCTATAACCGTTGTTACGAAGTAATTTGCAGGAGGGCAGGAGTGGACATTCCATGTTTCTTCTCTCTTGGAACCGAATGTGCAAGGACTCAAAACTCCTTCAAACAAAAAGGTCTAAAAAGCAATTGGAATCTATGGGTGCTACCATGGTATAAATATTAAACAGACATTAGCTTCAGTTACTGTTATAATGCTGGGAAATGCTGGGAAGTCATTGCCAATTTAAGGATGAAGTAAGAACTTCATAGTTTTGCTCTTGGATTGAATGTCATTTTCTTACCTAAAATATACCCTAAATTTAGTAGCCAGACTGTGAGGAGGGATTGATATCTACAGCAGCACTTTGCAATTCCACCTACACTGGGAGATAACATCTTGTTAACAGTGGTTGCCAGAACAAAACCATTTTCAACACTGTTAGGCCTTGCCTCTACTCAGAAATGTCTTGCTTGTTTTCAGGAATGTGAATTTCTAGTGGCAACAAAATGCCAGTATTGTTAGCTCCATATATGACTTGGTAGTAAAACTGCCTGCAGCCTGACTCCACTGGAGCTAGTTGCACTAGTCTAACTACACCATTGCTGAGACACCTCAGGCATTTCCAAGTGTAGATGCACCTAGGTCACATACAGACATTCAGGGAGGTTAAGGAGAGGTTAGATCTCATTAAAAATAGACACCTGATCTAACTTAGATCACCCAGATGCAGACCTTACACTTAGATCCCTAGCTAGGTAGATCTAAAAGCAAACTCTGCAGAAGTTTAGGAAGTTTAGATTGGTCTAAAAATGGCTGACCCAATCTAAGTTAACCGTACCTTGGAGGTAATCAAACTTAGTTTGGGTCTGGTGAGACCAATCTAACTGAACTTCTATACCATTCCCAGCACAGCCCTGGGGCTGAGAAATCCTAGCCACTGGCCTCAACCTTGCGGCTGCACTTTTTCTATCTGCCCTTCTGGTCCCAGACTCTTTTTAGCCCCCCTGGCCCTTTACCCCACCCCCAGACAGATGATCCCCCCAGCCTGCCAAATACCCCACCTGATAAGCTGCTACTGGAGCTGGTTTACTGGCATATACTAACTGCTTATTAGACTTTTTGTTAACCATTAGTGGATGAATTGAAATGTTTTTTGTTCGGTCACAAGGTGTTCTACAAATGTGCTAATGGCTTTTACCAGTTGAATTCCTCTAATGTAGACTAAGCAAAAGGGTGCAGTATTTATCTTGTAAATGTTGATGTTGTGTCCTCTTTTATCTGTCCAGTGCCACCTAAGTTATCAGCAATAATTCATTTTACTGACTTCTTGGTGTGTTAATTTTCTTTTAGCTCTAGCTGCCCAGGCTTATGCACTTAAGGAAGAAAATGACAGTCTCCGGTGGCAGCTGGATGCTTATAGAAATGAGGTGGAGCTTCTAAAACAAGAGAAAGGGCAACTCTTTCGTACAGAAGAAAGCCTTACAAAGGACCAACAGCTACAATTTTTACAGCAGACAATGCAAGGCATGCAACAGGTACCATGAGAAGAGTTTAATGTCACTTTCTAGAAATGTGCCATATTATTCCAATTATAATTCAACCCTGTTTATAAGTCAACTACATGTTCTCAAGTTCAATTTTAGAAAAAACAGCTTTTCCTCTGAATATTCTAATATTATAAAAGCCTTAGTCTGTCTGTCTATAATGCTTTATTCACACTCTGATTGGCTGACAAACAGCCAATCAGAGTGCTCCATGAATGTTCAGCCAGAAGACAGCGCGGCGGAGCACTGCCATGACAGCGAGGACACAAGGCCCCCTGTCCCCTGCAGGCAGCAGTGATAGAGGAGAGTGGGGAGAGCTGGCCCAGCCCTAAAGCAGCAGGGGAGGGAGATCAGCCAGCCCCAGCCCCACAGCAGTAGGTGGGGAGGATGCGGGGAACTGGCCTGCCCAACCAAACAAGAAGCGGGGGGGGCAGGGGGGCAGGCAGACCATGGACTTGGAGGGACAAGGAGCTGCTGGGCCCTGACACAAGCCGGCAGAGAGGGGCAGGGGGGGCACAGTGGCAGTGCCCCACTGCTACTGCACCCTGACAATGACTCTGAAGGTGGGGTGGGGGGGGGCCCATTCACCCCCTCCCTGACTGGACAAGAAGCAGGGCTGTGGCCAGATGTAGGGCTTCATCCCCACCCACCGTAATGGTGGGGTGCTGCCGCCCTACCCTGCCAAAAGCCCCTAGGGAGGGGGGCACGGTGATGGCACCCCGCTGCCACTGCCGGGCCCTGCCAATAACCGGGAGGGGAGGGGAGGGGAAGGAGCGGCATGCAGATCATGCGGACCTGGTGAGTAGGGATGTGGGGAAGCAGTGACAGCCCTGGCCCTGAAGGGAGACAGGGGAGCAGGGCTAGACCCAAAGCACAGGGTAAGGGCTGGACACAGGCCTTTGTCCCACCTCAGCCCCACCTCTCATCATTCTTGACAGGCACTTGGCTAGTAAGTTAATAAGTACAGAACAGGATTTTGAGCTGCTCTTGCTCTCACAAAATCCCACAGGAGAATCAGCTAACCAAAGAAAGGACCCAAAGGGTTAAATGGACTAAACATATTAAGATAAAAACTGGGCTGAAAATTATTTCTCACTTGGTATATTTATTGCATGCAAAAAAAATATGGCAGGTACAAAAATCAAGACTATAGAAGGCCCTGCCTTAGATTGACCCTGCATATAAGTCAAGTGAGATTTTCATGATTCTTTGGGACAGGGGAAGAAGGAGGTAGCTTTTAAATTCAGAAAAGAGTAGTTTTACAAAAGTAGTATAGTGCTTTTTTTGGAATAGTACCACACACCTCTCCAGTGCCAAAAACTGCTTTGAAGTCAATAGAGCTATTGATGTGCCTGTGTCAAGCACAGTGTCACCTCCACCACTCTTGACAGTGACTTAATGCTATAAACTGGGCATTTATTTCTAAGTGTTTGTGTCCAGAAAGTTAACAGTCTTCTACTTCTGATTTCACCACTAGAAATCATAAATCCTGTCTTTGTGACAGTGCAATTGGTAGTTGTGGGGATGGCTACGAGGTTCCAGATTTATAGCTCCCGATCAAGAGAAAATTTCAGTAGCAGATATGTGAATGCACAGATTACAGCTATGTCCAAAAACTTTTCTGAGTTGGGATAATTTAAAGCACAAATGTAACTTTTAAACAAAAAACTTGAGAGTTGGCAAATCAGGCATTAGCTGCCCTTCTAATTCAGGAATAAATTTGGTAGCAAAAATTGACTTCAAAGCACTTAAGCACAAAGTTTAAACATGTCAGTAATCTCATCCTTTATTAATAGCATACTTAAGTATTACTGACATCAATCACATATGTATAAATGCTTTGCTATATGTAGGACTTGATGCCTGATCTCTATTGCCTTGAATTTTGTCAAGTCATTCACAGCAACATAAAGTGGATATAAAATGCTGCCAAATCAAAATGGTAAGGCTTTTACAACTCATTTAGCATTGTTGTATTTGCTCTGAACCTACCTAAGATTCAAAGCAAAAGAGATCAGGTCCTCAGAATTGTAAGTGAATCACTGTGGGAAAGTTGGTTAAATGTTAATATTGTTAACCAAGAATATTAAGAAAAACCATACAGTGCTTGATCATTTTCTATCTGTTATGTAGTCATGACACTGAATTTTATCCCTGCCTTGATTTTAAAGTCCTTGGCAGTGAATTTTTGCTCGTTTGGAATTAACCCAACAATTTTCTATGGTACATGAATGCAAACGGGTAGGGGCAGACCTGGGGGTGGGAGTGCAGTGGAGCAGTTGAACCCCTTTGATTGCTGCTCCATCCAAACTTGAAAACCAGCTGCTTGAGAGGGGCAGTGGCATTTCTATTCAGGCAGTGCTGAGGGAATCAGTTAACTTTGTGGATCATTATCATCTCCCTGATTCCTGCTAATCTCTTTCTATCCACCGATGTTAACAGCCCTGTATGCTTTCTAATGGTCTTGACGTTCTACTGTTCAAACTATCCTTTCTTCTGCAATTTTGCTGTCTTTTAGTTACTCCCAATAATTTCACAGACCAGCAGACTGTTTTTAGCTCCAGCTAAATACCATAAATGGTAATATTAAACTCAGGCATAGAAATGACTAGCAGTGAAGTATTGGAGGGACTGTCAAGATGTTCAAGAAGGCTAGATTTTGTTTTGCAAATCTGAATAAGAGATGTACATTTAACTGTAATAACTTCAGGTCTAATGACACAATATCTTTTGACTGTTTTGACTATTTTTGCCTAGTTTGTTTTGGTTTTTTAAACTTCATATATCGTCTACCAAATTAGTCCACATTATAATAGTTGTATCTGCTTTTACTTTGCTTTTAAGATGAATAATATAGTGCTAGCATATTTGTAAAGCATCTACTTTCTATTTAATGGGAGCAAAAGATGTGTTGTATTGTACGTGATGATGTGGCAGACCACCTGCACCCCCTTTTTCTAAATGTAGATGGGTCAAGGAATTGGAAAAGAGGGCGCTGGTGGTCCAGTGGTAGTGCCTGCTAAAGAAGGAGAGCATGGAAGTTATTAAGGTGAAGTCCATGATATTTGTTGTAAAGTTGTGAGCAGATTCAACAGCCAGGTGGATTATTGGGGTGACTTTGGATAGACAGGTTTCATTTACTAGTAGCATTCATACTATCCATGGATATCTACACTTTCCCTGTGCTTTATCCATGAATATGTAAATATCAGCCTTTGATTTAAGATCAGCCTTTGATTTATGTAGAACCTGTAGAACTCTGGGCTATGCTTATAGAAATGCTGAGGACTGGTAGCTTCAACTGAAATCTATCAGCATAGCAGGTGCTCAGCATCTATGAAAATCAGGTTCTATATGAAATATTAAACATATACCCAGGACTGTGCTGGTAATGATTTAACAAAAAGATTTCTCATTCCCTTTTATCCTGTTGCATATTTTAAAGTTAATTTAAAACAAGATAAACTAGATTCCTTTGAGTTCCTGAGTCCTACATATAAGTCTGTTTTACAAAAATGTATTCCTTCTCTCAATTCACACCCACTCTCTTCTAACCCCCTCCTTCCTCTCACTTTGAAAACTAGAGAATAATTTATTGGTGCTGCAGCCTGAAGAACAGGTCTTGCAGAGAAAAATGGATACATTTACAGAATCAAGGAATCTTCTGTAAATGGACTTGCTACCAAACTGTAGCAAATAACACAACATTGATATATTCTTAATTTACTCCAAACATCTGGCCATTTTTCAGGATTCTTTCATGCTCTTATCAGAGTGATTAAATGAATGATTTTTTTTCTCTCCTCTCACTCCTACTGTTCAAAAGCAGCATCAGCAAACATATATATCTGCTCCTGAAGTACATGCGTTGGACAATAGTAGCAATCTGCCAACACACATTGTCTAAAAATGAAAATCCATTGGAACAATGGCAGGTCAGGCACTGAAGTTATATGTTTTTGAGTCAACTCCATCCATGAAAATGTGTCATAGCTTAATTTCATAGCCACTATAAAATCTCAAACAAATGGAGAGAATGCCTTGTATCCATGGTAACAAATGAGATAGACTTTACCTGATTTTAAGACGGAAATTAAATTAACTTGTCACTGCTCCAAAGCTTCAGTGTATTTCTATATAAGGATATACACATAAAACATATACTTTTCAAATGGCTCGGTATTTTTGCAATGCTGGAAATTATGTAAGAAAACTCTGTAATCATAGGAAAGGGTTAGCTATTTTAGCATACACCTTTAATCACTCAGTATTTTTTAATCTTTTCTTCCTTTCTGAAATGATTCAAAATGTTCACATAACAGAGCACAAGTATTTCTACCATATACATTATTATAAGTGGGACTGGCAGCTCTGCCTTATTAAGGTTGATTACAGCTTGCCAAACTTAAACTACTTGGGCTGAAATTTTCCTTACTTAGTCCCTGCCTCAAGTGAAACAATTCCATTCTGAAGAGAATGAGACATTGTTTTGCCCATTTAAGAAAATTCTTATGACTTTTTCTTTTCTGCTTTGTGTTGGAGACATCAAAATTGGCAGTAAGTGGCCTTTGTGTCAAGGGCATCAGTTGTGCTATTCCTTTGAAAATGGACTCAGTTGGGGCAAGCTGTAAGGCTTTGAAAAACTTATGTTCACATATGATAAGTAGAGATTTATTAGAGCTTAGTAGTTAAAGAACTAAGCAGCACATTCCTTCCTCTAACATACAGTTCTGACTGGAGGTGCACCAATACATCGGTCCCATATTGGATCAGCACCGATATGAGGAAAGTTGAAAGTATTGACAATTGGCTTCTTTTGTCTGATGTGGCCAATAACGTGACTGATAAATGTCCCGTGCATGCGTGCAGCCTCAGCGCAGCACACAGGCAGCCACGAGCACAGCCCAGCAGCATGGAGAGCAGCCAGGTCCAGTTGGTAAGTCTGTTGTGGGGGAAGGGGCAAGGGGGGAGGGAAGGAGAGTGGGTGCTAG